ATGTGAGCTTGCCCCTCTCCATCAAGAGGTAGATTCTATTTTTCCATCCTTTTGAATCTGGGTGGGTCTTGGGACTCCTTCTACCACTGGAATATGGGAGATGTTATGCTATGCCAATTCTCGGCATAGCCCTTACCTGGCCTACCAGCTTCCACGTCACTAGGCTGATGGGGACTCCAAGTCTTGCTGTGATCTTGTAATCCAGGTTCCCTGGAATCTGCCTTAACTCTCTGACGAGTATGCAAACCAACCAGGGGTTGTAAGGAGGAAGAAGTTGCTTTAATACTTGTTTGGAGTCAATTCATCTTTTTCGTTACTTGATTCTATTCTGAAATAGTTTCATATTTTTTGAACAAGTGTTATAGATCATTAAATTACCTCCCATTAGTTTTGCACTTCTCTTCTGTTTTGTCTGATTTTTTTTATTGGCCCTGAACTAACATCTGTTGCCAATCTTTCTCTTTTTTTTTTTCCTCACCAAAGCCCCAGTACAAAGTGGAGTATCCTAGTTGCAAGCCTTTCTGGTTCTATGTGGGATGCTGCCACAGCATGGCTTGATGAGTGGTGCTAGGCCCACAACCAAGATCCTAACCAGAGAACCCCAGGCCGCCGAGGCAGAGTGTGTGAACTGAACCACTCGGCCACGGGGTCAGCCCCTGTCTTGTCTGATTTTGTCATCACGGTTCCAAGCCCATTCTAATGACATCCTGAGGTGACTCACCAGAACTATATTTTTAAAAAATCAAGTTGTTATATTTCTAACAGTGTTTGTTTTGTACAGTTTGATGTTTAACGTTTGATGCAAACAGGCTTGTGACTTACATCTTCTTTATAAAAACTGTCTTTTATCACAACAGATGTCCTTTTCTATCCTGTTTAATGATATGAAACTTAAATTCCACCTTTGCTGATGTTATTTTACTTCAGATATTTTTATCTTTGCATTTGCCTCTTTTCACTCCCTTGTTTCATCACATTAATGACATTTAGATGAATTTTGTGCTATTTACATATTCAGCAAATATTTATTGAGCACCTACTCTGTCTTAGACTCTGTTCTAGACATTGGTGTATAAAACAAAGATTCCTGACCTCAAGAAATTCGATGGGAGGAGACAGACCATAAACAATGCACATAATAAATAAGCAATTAACATAGCATGTGAGAAGTGCTAAATGCTGGGGGAAAAAATAAAAGTAGAGCATGGTATATGGGATTGGGAGTGCAAGCGGGGGAGGTTGCAATTAAGAATAAAATGGTTGTGACAGGCCCTACTGAGAAGGTGACATTTGAGTCAAGATTAAAGGAGGGAGGGAGCTGGCCATGTGGATCTCTGGAGGAAGAGTATTCCAGGCAGAAATAACAGCCAATCCCAGACTGTAAGGTGGAGGTGTGCCTGGTGTGTGCAAGGAAAGGCAAGGAAACCAGTGTGGCTGGAATAGGGTGAGGAGGGAAAAGTAGTAGATTAGACCTGAGAATCACCGTGGATTAGGCAGTAGGGACGTCACTGGCAACTTGGCCAAGTGTGCACAGTTTTGATGGAGTGGCAGGGCAATGCCATGTTCTTCATTTAGTGTGATGGTGGGGATATACTTAATTTTATTTCTCCTCTCTAAGTTTGTTTATTATTGGTTTGGTTTTATGTTTCACACTTTTTCTTTTTCCTAATTTTGACAAGTTTGATCATTCTCGAGTTGGGATATCTTCTGTCTGAATTCCTTGAGTTTTCTGCTGTCCAGACCTAATTTCATTTCTGTCTGCCTGGCATAAGAAGAGACAGGAATTTTTAGGTATTCTTTCCTGCAGGCCCTGGGCACAGAGAAGACAGAGCTATGTGTACCTTTGTGCCACTGTGTCAGTCTGGGCAGGAAACAGGTGTCATTGTCAAATCAGGTCGTTGAAAGAGCTTACTATAGGGGACATGTCCAAAGGTGAACACAGGGACAGGGCAGTACTTGGTGCTAGTAAGAGTGTGTGTTTCAGTGGGATGGGTGGAGCCATTACTACACAGGAGGAGAGAAAGAGAGCTTGCAACCTATGCCGGAAAATTAACCACTCCGTTAATCTGGAAGGAGAGTTTAAATGCACATAAGATAGCATGTCTTTCTCTTGGAGTCCTATACATCCATAGCACCATTTTTTCCAGTTTCCTGATCCTGCATCCCTTTTTTCTTGGAAGAGGTAACCTATGATCTGCCCTCTTCACCCAAGAGGTTCAACCCTATCCGAGACATGAACAGAAACCCTTAGTCTTGGGAAATTTGCCTTCTGGTTCATTATGTGAAAGACAAAGTTGTCTGTCTCTGACTTTGGACTGATTCATAATTCACTTTAGGTTGCAAGAAACAAACAAATTCAGCTAGCCTAAGTATATTCCAGGTATCAGGTGTGCCCCTTTGCAAACCTCTTAGAGATCTAGTTAAACTTAGCCCAACACCACCACCCATGGGAATTCAGAGTCCTCAGTACAATCTCTGTGAGTTCCTGGGTTACTTTCCCTTGCTTCTCCCTGCCTCCACACTCCCACATTGGCATGAGTTCTGCTAGTTCTGCTTCTTGTCCCCCTGGCTTTTAAGTCCAGGCAATTCATCCGTTTTCCCCATGTCCTCACTACCTCAGCATTTTGTGAACATAAAAATTTTAATGACAGGTCACTTTTCATTTAGTTTCAATTCATTTTTTCTTCTAACATTTTCCAGCTTAAGGAGGACGTACTGTACTTGTGATAAGAGAACACATAGGGAGTGCACCAGCTTTAGTTGCTAGTGTATTTTTAGCAGGGCAAAGGGAAAAGAGTAATACACATTCTTTCTTAGGAAGAATAGGACAAAAATCTACAGCTCCTCAGCAGCTTGCAATGGATGTACCATCAATGTGATAAATCACCCTCCATCAGAGTCATAGGACAACTATGTTCTGTGGCTTTTGGATTTTGGCAGCTCTCCTTGTTTCTGCACCACCACTACCATCTACCTATAAGACCCTGTTAATATGTATGGTGGCCCTATGTTTCAGTGAATGGCCATCAGAAAAAAATGGCTTTCCATTTGTGAAACCATGGCCAGATATTCCAGGCAATACGATAGTCCACATCACTGGGGGTGATTCTCAAAATATTTAACAATCAGTACAACACAGGCATCAATCACTCAGAATAGATGTGACCAATGAGAACCAATGTCAGGAATAAACACCTGGTACATCCCCATGGTAGATGCCAGGTGAATATCTACACTGCCTATAACCCAGTAGCAACTCTGCTAATTCCCATCATTTTGTACCCAAATGTCTCTTTCCCTTTCCAAACTGTACTTTGTTCATTTGTGTGTTCATTCAACAAAGCCATTATTAAGCTTCTCCGTGCACTCTCCCAACCTTTCCCAGCTCCTGTCCCATTGTTGCTGACACATGGATTTTCCCTAATAAAGTCCTTGCATGTTTAATTTCATCTTCGCATCTGTTTCTCACAGGACCCACACTAACCCCTAATGGTGTTGTCAAGATCATGGACAGCAGAACTCGCTTGTTACATTTGGGTCCATCCCTCTATCACCGCAGAGGATAACTTCATTTCCATTACTTTGGGCATGTTCATTGACAGACTCTGATTTCTGTTTCTCACTCTGTCCCTCTTGCCAGCATACCAGTGGAATCCTAAGGCTTCCTGATGAGGATCCACTTTTGCTTTCTTATGAAATCTCATGTGATCATTTCCAGGGTAGGACAATAGCGCTAACAGAAGACAGCCATTTACGTGGGGGTAAAGAGAGTAGGTGGTATACAGATTGTATAGAATGGGGACATTTGTAGAAGAGGGGATGGGGACAGTGAGAAATAATAGTAACCAGTTTGGAGAGTTTGGCTTTGAAATGATTGGCACTTGGGTCTCACCTGTTCATGACCCCTGGCTATGGTTCCTGGTTCCTTTATCCTGGAGAAGATGCTACCTTGAGATGGATTGAGCATGGCCCAGGAACCTCACAGATCTCCCAACTTCAAGTTCAAAAGTGTGCACAGCAGTCCCTAAGGGTCAAGATGAGGAAGGGACATACCTAGCACAACTACTGTCCCCTCTGCCAAAACCCCACAGTTAAATAACATTGAAGAATAAGCACTCTTCTGTTCACCTGGCTTACTGCCACACTGACACTGTAGTCACAGCTGCAAGTTTATAGGTGAGTGAACAGTGTTGATCCAGGAGCAGCCGAATCACCCAGAAGGACTGGCCACCCTGGAGAGACACATTAGTGAGAGTCACCCAGCGTGGGAGTGTGGGGACATCTGTGCAGGACTTGTCAAAGCTGCACTTTAGTCCACCTCCCGGGGCAACTCAGAAAAAGTGAGAGACAACTGGAAGGGCAGCCTCTGCTCTTGCCAAATAAACCATGGCTCAAGTTAGGGGGACCGCCTGAACTGGAAGGACCAGCCTGGCCACCCTGGGCTGATGGCTGGCATTGATATTGACAAAGCTTCAAATTAAAACAGTACAAACAGGGAACTTGGAGATCTGTTAACTGGTTATTAACAGACCAGTTAATAACACTGCTCCTAGCTCTTAACTCTCCCTAAATGTTCACTGAACTGAGCTGAATGGATTTAAAGACAAAATGCAGGCATCTTTTCAAACTTTCTCATATCCCAGGAAGAATGAGTTCCTGGTGTCTTCTCTGTCCTTTGGCCCCTTGGTTGCAGTTGAAGTCAACATTTCCAATTCACGATTAGTTGAGCTACTCAAAGATGAGGGATTCCAGGAAAGGTCCATGATGATAACAACCCAACATTCTCATAATTGGCAAAGGATAATAGGAGGGGAACGTATCCATTACTCCGTGATAAACTAAATATTGGCCTGGAAGTACAGCTTCCATGCTGACCTTGGGAGGAGATGGTTGCTCCTGGGGCCAGTTACCAGAACTCCCTCACATTGCCTGAACCCGTGTTCACTGCCCCACCTCACTTGCTTCATGACCACCAGGAAGTCTATCCTTGTTTACTCCAGGCACCTCACCATGGATTAATGACAGCTACCCATGGGAATTCAGATCTAAGAAGAGCTGAAAAGAGAAGGCACTCATCCAGGTTCAACATCAAGTTGAAAAGGGGCATCTTCACCTGCTCATGATATGAGAAAAGCCAAAGGAACTTTCCTCTGCTGAGACTCTGTTAGTCAAAATCTGACCAAGAGCCATCTTGCCATCAATGGTGAGTGGTTTTCATCATATTCTCTTTCTTGTATTCTTTGACTTAGGAGAACTAAAGGACAGGCTTCTTGGCAGTGATCCCCGTTCTGAGGACCTGCCCTTTCTTGGATGGAAGCGAAAGTTCACTGGGAAGGAATACACTTCCCCACCTAGAAAGTTGGCTTCTTTTGTGCTTATGACACCCGGGGAGGCCAGCAACATGATTCCCCTCTTGCTTTTGCTTTTTCCACTCCATCCCTTATGGGGACATTTTTTTGGGAGTCACTTTACATTACTAGTTCTTATGAATTTTCAACTCCCTCAGGAAAAAGTTTGAAGAAGTTGGGCTCTGAGGCCTGGACAGAGCACTCTATTAGACAGCGTAAGAGACAGCAAGTGTTTGGAGAGTTGCTGTGAGGAAGACGGTAATTTGTTCTTCTTCTCTGAGGACTGAAGATACTAAAAATAAAATTAAATGGGATTTAAATTACACAACACTTAAAAAGCTTATGAGCTTTGAGGTGGGGATCTTTAAAAAAGATTTACTGGGTGCCAGCCCTGTGGCATAGTGGTTGAGTTGGGCAGGCTCCACTTGGTGGCCCGGAGTTCACAGGTTCAGATCCCAGGGGCAGATCTATACTACTCATCAGCTATGCTGTGGGGGCATCCCACATATACAATAGAGGAAAATTGGCACAGATGTTAGCTCAGGGATAACCTTCCTCAAGCCAAAAAAAGAGGAAGGTTGACAACCAATGTTAGTTCAGGGCAAATCTTCCTCAGGAAGAAAAATGTTTACTGAAGTTGCCAACTCCACCTTAAAGGAATTTCAATTCATCTAAATATCTACAGATGTTACTGTTACCTACAGAGCACAGATCTTTTCAAGTTCTTCCCACAGTGCCAGCCAATCCTGACTGTGGACACATAACTCTAAGACCACATTTGAGAAGTAGTTAGTCTCTCAATCCACTCAGAGAACCCGCCTCCACATTTGTGAAAATTGTAAAGGTGTAAGAGGTCTCTGGTTCTCTGCGGCGACACGCACAGAATCCAGAAACACATTAGGTCCCTGTTCCCATTGGCCTCCCTCTCTGCCCAGCCCTACAAAGCTAAGGGCCAAGGTGAGGCTGTGTGGGGCCTGGGCAGTTTACAGGCTATAAAGTCAAGAGGACCCGCACTCCAGTGTTGGCCCCATCACTTACTTTCTGGGTGAACTTGGGCAAGTACTTTTTAACAACTTGGATTCTTTAAATGAGAAGAACCAAGCTGATCTTCCTCTTTCACACAACTGCAGCTGTACCACTCCTCCACTTCCACCTTGGGCTTTAATCATTGGGCTATAACTCTGCTTCTCCATTGACTGTAAGTTCCTGAAAACAGAGATTCATCTCATCCTTGACACTGATTGGCATATTAACAGTGTTTAATAAATTTGTTGAATAGGTAAATAAATGAATGAATGAAAGAATAATGAATGTCTAGATTGTAGCATAATTATGAACATTAAACATAAGGGGCCAGCCCGGTGGTGTAGTGGTTAAGTGGGCATGCTCCACTTTGGCGGCCTAGGGTTTGCATGACGTGCTGTGGCGGTGTCCCACATACAAAATAGAGGAAGATTGGCACAGATGTTAGCTCAGAGCCAATCTTCCTTACCAAAAAAAAAAAAAAAAAAAAAAAATGTAATGAAGTTACTTTCCTTCCCAAAGATTACAGGCCTAGACTCCTGGGAAAAAGAAGGGATACCTCAAGATCTAACCTAACAATAATCCCCTCCCTTCCCTCACTCCTCCCCTGGTCTTACAGTCATCTTCAGTTCTTTTAACTGATATTTATCAAAGGCAATGGGCTGTGTTCCTTCTGGGCACTGGGCTGAGTCCTGAGGATCTATGAAAAGTCATGTTTCCCACCTGGCAGTCTAGACAGGAGGCAGTCTTTAAAAAATTACGATCAGGAAAATAACTGCTGAAGTAGAGCATGTTGAGAGTCCAGAGCAGGCAGGGCTATCTGCTTGGGGAAGTGAGGGAAGGGTCTGTAAAGGAGGAGGCATTTAAGCTGAGCCCTGAAGGTGGCGTAGGAGCTTCCCAAGCCAAGGGAGGAGTAATGCCTGAGTCTCAGGTCTGCCTGTAACCAGCTGGGCATGTTGGACAAGTTTACGTCTCAGAGACTTGGTTTCTTCATCTGTTTACCAGCATTGGCTCATGGGATTTCTGCCAGGATTCCATAAGAGAACACGTAAAAGCGTATAACATCAATCCAGGCAACGGTAGATGAAGGACAAATGTTAGGATGGTGCTGTGTGGGTAAGAGCCTAGAAGTGAGAGACTCTGGTTGTTATGGGAACCCATCAGTTTTTTGGAGGGGACTCAAGGGGGATCCCAATAAACAGTGCCTCTCTTTCCCACCTGGGTCTGGCATAATTTGAGAAAATTCAAAAGAGTAATTATGGAGGCCAAAATATCACCTTTTAAATGGCAATTGCTAATTTGGAGAACAAGGCCTGGAACAAGGGAAAACAGAGCTTGAAGTCACCCAGATTGGGCAGATCTGGGTATGACAGCTTCTCAAACAGAAGCCTGTCCAGGAAAGACTCAGCATGGAGCAGCAGAGGAAAATCGGCGTACTCTCAAGATGGGGGTGGGGGGCACAAAACGGAGCTTGCCCAGTTGTTCCTTTCCATGTTTCAGGTCAGAGACTCTCAGGGGCAGAGTGAGTAAAACGTGGAGGGAGCACGGTCAGAGTTTGCTTTGGAAACCACTTTCCTGTGGAAATGGGGGTGAAGGGGAGTGCTCCCTTCTAACACAGTGTTACTAGGGCATGCGGGCTGGGGATGGTTGGCATTCTGTGGATGGAAAGGACAAGGAGATGTGATGAGGCTTGATAGGCAGGCAGGGGCCAGATCATGAAAAACTCTGCATGCCAGGGAAGGCAAATGAACTGAAGGTGGGATGACCACTGAGAGAAAAGGAAGAGGCACTCACCAGTCGTGCCAAGGAGAGAGAGCAGGGCAGCCAGCATTCCAGAGCATACATATACAGTGGCACCAATCTTCATGCTTGTAGAAGAGAGAAGGCTAGTGCCGTGGTTCCACCAGGCCATGAGGAAGTTGAAGATGCTGGGAGGGAAGTAGGATCTGGGCCAGATAGGCTTGAAGTGGAAAAAGTAGGGAAAGAATATTCTTGGGCAGCCTCCAGGAGTCCAGGAACCAGGGATCACAATCAATTCAGAGAAGAAAGCAAAGTTTGAGTAAGGGAGTGAAAAATCTGAATACTTAAGAGAATACAGAAGAGGGGCCAGCCTGACGGTGTAGGAGTTAAGTTCGCACGTTCCACTTTGGCAGCCCGGGGTTCGCTGGTTCAGATCTCAGGTGTGGACATGGCACCGCTTGGCAAGCCATGCTGTGGTAGGCGTCCCACATATAAACTAGAGGAAGATGGGCAAGGATGTTAGCTCAGGCTAGTCTTCCTCAGCAAAAAGAGGAGGATTGGTGGCAGATGTTAGCTCAGGGCTAATCTTCGTCAAAAAAAAAGAGACTACAGAAGAGAGTAGCATTCTCAGGTTTGTTTGAAATGGAAGATTTGGGGATGATAAGGAGATCCAAGGGGTGGCCCAGAGAATGGACAGCTTAAGAGGAATAAAGGTAAATGTCCTTATAGTTGAGGAGGTCAAGGATGCTGGAAGGGTCATCCACAAGGACACAGAAGCTATCAGGATGAGGCCAAAGTTAATAAGGAGAACAGACATTTTACATCTTTGATATATGGTGATGGGTCAACTATAGAAGTTATTCCATAAAGGAACCAAGAAAGATACAAAGATATGGCAACCTTCAAAACAGCAACAACCATCACCAAAAAATTGAATAAGCTCCCTGGTTTATGCAAGGATGGAGTCATATAAACATAAAGACATTTACAGCTGTGGAATATAGGCCCTGTGACAATTACAGAGGCCAACAATGAAGTCCTTTTTTTTCTACTAAAGAAGCATGTGCTGGCCACAAATATGAGGAGTAAACCTTCATAGAATGTGTGACATCTCTTCGTAGAACGTGTGACATCTTCAGAAACTGATGCACTCCCTCTCCCCTAAAAAGCACCCAAACCAGAGAAGTGTCTGCTCCTAAACTGAAGATCCACAGAGTATTCTTGAGGCTCCCCTGCAAACCAGGCAACACACGGGCTGTGAGTTTGTGAGAGAGATGCAATCTCTTCCACATACACAGAACCAGATGGCATCCATCACATCAGCTGATATTTGTGATTATTACTATTATTTTCCATAATTGCCTTCCTGGGATCTGCTTATTTGCATCATGCTAAGTACTTGTAAGTAGCCAATGAAAGATTTGGAGCTAAGCTAGTTTTTTTAAAAAAAAACTGAGGCCAATATGATGGAATGTTTACAGCAATTCCATCTCATCATGCTAAACACTTTCATCCAAAGAGGCTTTTTCTAGAGATCCCTTTTATTAAAATCAGATGGAATCTGTTCGCTTTGGTGGTGGCATTCGGTCATCTCAGACAACTCTACAAATATACCATGAAAAAAGAAAAAAGGAAGCAAACAAGAACAAAGTAATTCAGACGAATCGCAAGGTATGGCCTTAACAATAGGTTCATGGCCAGGAGTAATCCTCGAGAATGCCAGCTTTCATTGTGGTTTCCTGGAAGAAAAGAGCTTTGAACAGAGGCCTCCTTTCCCCCTTTAGATTTCCCTGTCAAGAGACATAAAAGAATTCAAACTAATCAAAAAGCCCAAGTCAGCTGGCTGGTTAACGAGGACAGGCCCAACCTTGAGTTCAGAGAGCTTTCTAATGCATTCCACCTGCCTCCCCAAAGAACAAAGTTTACAGGACATATTGACTGCAAAGGAGGCTTGCTTCTAAAGAGAGAGATGGACATATGGTAGCCGAAATGGCATACCATGGAAGTGTAGTTCAACACTGAAAACACTGTCACTCTTAACAAATTACCCCGTGCCCAAGATACTGAATTTCTTTCTTTCTTTTCTTTTCTTTTTCTTTCTTAAGCTGTTTAATCATCATGAGCAAAGTAACTGGGAGTAATGTGGGGACCTGATGCAGTCGGCCCTTGAGGCGCTTTATAATTGGGTCCCACCTCACCCATCCAAGTTTAGCACGTGAGGGATCCCCTTCACCCCAGCGGGGTGAATATGTCATCATTTTTTCCCTCCTCCCCCACCGCCCAACTCCCTCCTCAACACACACAGGCTAGGACCATCCCTGCCTCCACCTGTGCTGCTGCCCTGCCTGTAACTGGCTGCCCGTCTCACCATCTCTCCACATCCTTCGAGGTCCACTTCATGTTCCATTCTCCATGAAATCTGCCTCACTGGCACCAGCCAACAGCAACCATTTCCTTTCCTGAGTATCCCTCCCACTTACTGTCAACCAGGGATAGAAATTGCTACTGTGCTTGGACTTACACCTTAAAGATTCCGAGGTTACCTCTGAGCTCAAGGGTGCCATGGCCTTTTAGCAATGACAGTGAGAATGGTATGGGAGGAGGGCATGGAACAGTGTGTGTCTAGCATTTGCCAACCCTGGTCTAATGACCTAACTTGGCAGTGGTTTGTATTGGGGCTTAATTTTACATCATCACATTTTATCCAACTGTATGTTGTTCTATGTTTTTATGGTCATTCTGATAAGATTTTCAGATTTTAAATGGATAGACTGTTGAAGTTATAGAGAGAAAATGACCATAGAAGATGTCATAGAAAGTCACAACTGAGCATTCTGGAGGGGGTCCTCAAGTTGGGGCCCTTCCCTTCTTGAGGTTGGTTTGATGGGCCCCCAGAAGATGATTTCAAGTATGCACCCGGGGGTGATGGATTTCCAAGTGTGTTTTCTCATAAATATATGTATAAATGTATCCATGTTTACATACGTTCTATAGATATATATACTCAAGGTATAAACCAGATTACTCACGCATTTGCAATTGGAGACATTCCTTCCCAGAAACTATACTTCCCAGGGCTACTTCTAGAACACACTTTCTTCTGAATAGAGGATAGTTAAGAAGTTTGATTAGTGTCCAGGGAGTTGCCCAGTGAGCAAGAAATCAGAGCCTTCCCTACTTTCTTTCTAGTGGTTAAAACTACTCTGGCCCTTCCACTTGCTGGCTGTACCATCCTTAAGCAAATTCTCAGTCTCTCTATGCCTTGGTTTTTTCCAGCTGTAAACAGAAATAGTACCTAACTTATAGGGTTAAAAAGTGCTTAGAACAGTAAGTAGCACCTACTAAGCACTTATTTGATGCTAGTTTTTTTATAATTATTATTTATATCTTTTCACCAATACTTTAGAGATACCATTTCCATAATAGTGCAACAGCTCTAATGGAATAATGAGGCGTATATTGATTTTTAAACCTTTAAAGATTATTCTAAATCCAGGAGTATCCAGATGCATCTCAGTTGGGATGGCAGATTGTGTGAAATACGTCTAGTTTTTTCTCTTCTTTTATACACCATACCTGGGAGTGAACTCCACTCCTGGCTCAACTCTTGTTCTAATTTTTATTCATCAGATTATATATGCAGACAGCTGCGTGTATATGAATACAGCAAGTGCGGCCCCATAGCCTCGAGGCCTTTGGATAAAGCTTTATGCACTGTTACTTCCTGCAAATTCTTTTCCCCTGCACCCCCTCCCCTGACTCCAGGAACCTATCAGTGATTCCCGCCTCCCAAGTCAGACCTGGTGCCCTTGGAAAAAGGTGAGGCATGACTGACACACAGGGTAGGCAGGCTGCCTCGAAGAAGAATGCTGGAGGCAGGCCTTCCAGGTGATTCATTAGGTGGCCAGGCTCACCCTGCCCCTCCTCCTCTCCCAGGGGACATCCTGTCAGAGGGAAGGAGAAGCCTTTGTTTTGCTGAAGCTTCCCAGTCGAGTGTCACACTGGTGGACTGGTACTTCTTCCTGAAAGACCTGCATGTGAGAGCTAGGCAGCCTTTATCTTTTTGCTGTTGTGGTTAATAAGACACGGGTAGCCACACCTACTTTAGTTTCTATTGAATAAAAATGTGAATGGGGGATTTGTGTGTGTGTGTGTGTGTGTGTGTGTGTACAACTCTCTTCAAAGTCCCCAAGTTCCCAGGTGGGGAAGGTAGTTTAGAGCAGTCTGTGACCACTGGAGAGGACAGCTCACCCCACACCCCATGTCCTTGACTACAATTTCTCCTCCTTCCCTCCCTGGTCGTTTTACAAGGTATTGAATGACTGACCGCATCCAGTCAGTGTCCAGGCCAAGAGACCTGCATCAAGACCTACCTTCCTTCCTTCCCTCCCCCTCGCCCCTCCCCCTCCCATTTATTCTTCTTCCTTCCCCCTCCCCGCAGCCAAAACACCAACCCACCAGACGATCAAAAAACCTCTAAAGTAGTAGAGCCTTAGAAAGTACAGAACCAAAGTATTTCCAATATCAGGAGGAGGGAAAGGAGGGGAAGAAGGAGACAGAATAAGAGGAAAATAGGAATTTCAACAGTTTTTTTTTCCTTCAAGAGAAAAAACTATCTTTCTGGGCAAACAGGCCATCCTCCTGGGAGGGAGAGCCCGCAATTTCCCCAGGTAGCACATTCCAGAGAGTGAATATATTGTCCAGAGATGCTGGGAGGGGGCCACAGATAGACACAACGTTTAATACAAGGATGGGAGTTGTTTACGATCCTCCGAAAGATACCAAAGGGTTGAAGAGGCGGGCCCATCGCTCAGAGCTGCGCTGCGGGTCTGGCTGAGCTGTAGGTCTCTGCCTGCTGGGAAAGCTGAAGCAACGCTGTGGCTTGCCCAGGGTCACACACCAAGCTTGGGACAGAAATAATTCTGATTCCTCCTTCCTGGCTCTCACCGGCAGTCAACGCCACCTTATTACTGTGCTATCATTCGAATCTGAATCATTTAAATGGCTCCTAATTGCAAGCCAACCGAGAACTGTAACCTCCACGTGACTCGAAGTGCCAGGCAAGTGAGGTGGGAAGGACAGAAATTTTACAAACTCCTGAACGCGGAATTAGGATGCTGGGAGGGGGTGGGCGTAGGGAAAAAGTGTTTGAAAACCAGACTTTAAAACTGCTGACAAGTACCATATTTAGATTTTTTTTTAAATGAATTTGAAATGTCACCTCCAATTTGTGATCGTGTTGGAACAGAGAAGCACTTGGAATTCAAATGGATGCCATTCAAAAAGGTGTTTGGGGGTAAATCTCATATTTTCCAAACACTCAATCTTCACACACTTCCTTTTCATGCCCACTAAATTACCGTCTCGTTTCGGTGTTTAAACTTCCTTTTTAACTCTTTTGTAAGCAGCTGGTGGGAGGCAGGGCCCCGGGGAAGCAACCAGGCCTATAAATTCAGCTCTGTCCACGGGGCTGGACACGTGCTCTGAAAAGAAAGTAAATTCCATCTGGCAAATTGCTCTAACTGATTCATTTGTCCACGCAGAGACGCCACCTACTTGCTCGCAGGTATTCAGGTAAATGACAGGGGGGCGGGACCTACTGACTGTTTCAATAGCTAAGGTCCCAGCAATGTTTTATCTGTCCAGGCTTCCGTGATGTCACCCATTTCCTGGTCCCGATCGACCAGTGCCCTCCTCCTTCCTTAGGCACCTGTGCGCGGAGGTTGAGGCTGGGCACTGCTCGGGCAGCGCAAGGAGCTGCGGGATTCATCCGCAGGGCAGGAGAGCTGAGGGGCTGCCGCTCTGAGAGCCCCAGACGGACGCCTGACAAGGTGAGCTGAAACCTCTCTTTTCCTCTCCGGGCATTTAGACCACCGGCCCCTGAGGGATCTGAACGAGGAATCTGAATGAAAAACACAAACTGAAGGGCTCAGCTCTGGGTGTTTGTCCCAAAAGGAAAAGCCCTTTTGAGGAAGGACCGAGGAGAGGGATGCCTTTGACATTTTGGTTGCCCAGGAAAGTTCTCCAAGGCCAGATATTTAATCCTTTTTGTTTCTCCTAATCATTAATCCGGCCTCTGCTTGTCTGGGAAGTTGATCTGATTTTTTTTTTTTAAACCCTGGAGTGGAGACTTTTTTGAAACTTGACTCAAAGGTACAGACCTGTTCAGCCCGTTTAACGCGGGTTGGGAGGCCAGCGCCGACTGAATTCAGAGTTGCCTTATTTGCCTTACTTTCTGCATTCGTCTTACCAGAGGCAATTTTAGTCTAAACCTGTGAGATATCCCTAAATTTCCTCGGAAGTCCTTGTCTGAGGAACAGGTACCATCTGTTGCCCTGCCCAGAAGCCCTCCACTCCAGTTTGCCTTCCTCTTTCTTCTCTAAAAAGAAGTCTGCTGTTTTCTTTGTTCTTGGTGGAACACTCTTTTTAAAACCAGTTTGCAGCCTGGACTAGAATTGTTGACATTCAGACCCGGACTGGCTGCATGCTGACCTTCAGTTAAAGATTATTTCCTCAGGGCTTAGAAGAATGTAGGTTCAGATCTGATTTTTAATTTTTTTGAGCTCTTCCACTTTTTCTCTCTCTTTTTCTTTTGATGGCAGCTATACCAAGGAGATTGTTCTGCCAGGACCTGACTTTTTTTTTTTTAAGTAATTTTACCTCTAGGATCCATTTTTGTTTTCCTCATCCTGTTCACACAGCCTGTACTTCTGTTCTCATCAGCCCAGTAGCCACACTCTATACTCAGTGCTGTTGTTGGTGAAAAGGAAAGAAACTATATCCGAATCTAGGTCTCGGCTGGGATGAGCTGGAAAACTTGGGGAAAGAAATCGACCTGCGAAGGAGGCATTTCATTCTAGATTCCTTCCTCGGCGATTTTTCTGAGATTTCAGTTAGTAAATTCTATTTGCAAGGGAATAACCTGTTGGGAATTATGCTCCTATTCATCCTTCCAGAAATTCAAAGTGCATGTCAATTCTCCAAAAGCGTAAATTGAAACAAGCTGAGAAGTTTTTTGTCTCAGTTGTTTCTCGCCACTGAGAATCTGCCCCGGACCGGCTGCCAATTTCTTCTTACTCCTTGGAGAATTGTATTGTTCTTAAGATTGGCACCTGAGCTAACAGCTATTGCCAGTCTTCTTTTTTTCTTCTTTTTCTTTTTCTCCCCAAAGCCCCCCAGTACATAGTTGTATACTCTAGTTGTGGGTCCTTCTAGTTGTGGCATGTGGGATGCCGCCTCAGAGTGGCCTGATGAGTGGTGCCATGTGCGCACCCAGGATCTGAACCAGCAAAACCCTGGGCCGCCGAAGTTGAGCACGTGAACTCAACAGCTCAGCCATGGGGCCAACCCTGCATTGTTCTTTAACGGACCTTTATGTCTCTTCTTTTCTCCTGAGCATGTGTTGGGGTGGCGGCTACTTCATGTCCCATGCTAGTGTTCTCACTCGGTTCAGAGTTTTGTCAGCAGAGGAGACGAAAAGATCTCTCAGATCCTGAATCTTTCAGATAAAAATGTGTCTTCAAAGTCACAAATCTCTCCACATGATTGCCTTCTTTCTGGTTTACCGTGGTTCCCTCGTTCTTTGTACAGTTAATTTATGATTAAACAAATCACTTGGTCACTATATGCCAGCATCCCTGGCTATTAAAGGAACAAAGCTGTGGATACCATACCCCCAGGTATAAGAAAAGAAAATAATTACAGATCCCGGAATTCAGAGTCAGATTATCTAGAATGCAGTTGGTCTGTTGGATAAGTTGCACGTGAGTATTGTCCAAACGAGTTAAAAGACCCACAGTGGTTCTCTTCCTATAGTAACTCCATCCCTTGGTTCAAGTGGCAATGAGGCCTGATTGAAAATGTACAGTCTCTTCCATTTACATCCTTGAGCAAGTTACTTAATTTCTCTGACCTTCGGTTTCTTCATCAGTGAAACGGGAGGTAATAATCCCTTACCGTACAAAGTGGTCATGAGAAGTAAATGAAGTAACATATATGGAGCATCAAGCCACCAATGTTTGGTGCTAGGTGGGTGCCTAGAAAAGGCCAGGTCCGTGCTTCTTGAAAGCATTTTCCTGGGTTGCTTAGAGGAGGTAATCTGACCCTACTGAGATAAACCATCTTATGTGGTTGCAATTGTTAGGAACCCTCATAGTTCTTGTTATGGTTATTAATTGTAAGTAATTAACTCCAGTGTTAACAGTTCAGAGAAAGAAAACAGGCAGGAGGCAGGAGAATGCTTAAACTATGTCATTAAACAGGCTGGACAGATTGGTCTCTGCCAGCCTCCCAGGCCGTGTTTAGGAGCTGCTGGCCACTTCTGTCACTCCTGCCTTTCCCCACAACAGACCCACATAATGTGGTCCTTCACAGGCCTTCAGGGGAAATGTCCTGTTGTCATTTGCTATCATCTGACTTGGCAGGCAGCCCTTTCTGCTTTCAACTGTGCTATCTCCAGGGCAGACTGAGCTTGGTCGCTTCCAATCTGGCAGATAAACAGCCTTCGCCACAGCCTGGCAAGCTGCCGTGCCAAGTCGCCAGGAGCAGGAGGCAGCTGATTTGGAGCCTGCAGTATACTGTGGAAGGGGGCTTTGTGGATCCTTTGGCTATGATTGCCCCCGTACTGGAATATCCTGTGCCCTTTGATGACCTTGAGTCATTGCATAAGAGCAAGAGTGTTCTCTGGCCCCTGGGACCTACTACAGGTCTCACCTTGTCCTGAAATGATAAGACAGGTTTTCATCGTTCAAGAGCAAGGTAACAGCCTAGTAGATTGGGGATGGGTTCATAACTTTGAACCCACAACTAGCTTGCTTAGGGGATCCTGGGGAAAAACCTCAACCTTCCAGTCCGTCAGTTTCCTTGTTTACCTTTTCCCAAAAATGGGATGCTACAATAGTGTATTTCACACCCACCCCCGGGTCCCGTAACTGAAGCTAGGTGGGCTGCATACCTAGTGAGTAGGTCAGACTCACTGCAGGGGAGTGGGCAATGCCTCACTAGGAAAGACTAGTCCAATTTATTCAGTTCTAGGTGGAACAGTGCCACTGCTTTACAGTAGTGGTCTGCTCTCTGGCATCAGACTCCCTGGGTTCAAAACCCAGCTCTACCTTATACTAACTATGTGACCTGAGATGGGTTATTCAACCTCACTTGACCTCAGCTGTAAAGTAGGCTTATTGTGAAGATGAAGTGAGTTGAAATGTGTAAAGTGCTGGGAATCGTACCTGGCATAATGTTGGTATTACTAATATTATTTTCTTGAAATGAAGGCATAGTGGGTGGAATCAGACAGATCTGGGTTTGAGACCCAGTTCTGCCATGAATTACTAGGCTACATAAGTTACTTCATGTCTCCTTGTCTCAGTTTCATCATCTAGAAAATGGAAAACTCAGTGCTGTTTTGAAGAATAATTGAAATGGTTTCATGTGAAGTGCCTAGTTTGTAGAAAGTGCCCGATAAATGTTAACTCTTGTTATATGATTATAGAAAACAATTATTATGCTGGTTCGACATCTTAGGTCGGGCTGCAATTTGGATATAATAATGATGGAAACGGTAGTAAGTTGAGGACCAAAGTCTCTGAGCAAAACAGATTTCCCGAAAGGCCCGCAAAGGCTTAGAAGGAAAACCAGTTAACAAAGATTATCTTGTTTATCTTGGAGTTCCAGGGCAGGGCAGCTGCCAGTTGAAATGCCTGGTCCTTTGCAGAACTGTGGGCAGTAGGGTTCTGCGATGTAAATAAACAGTGGATTTTCCCGGAGTCGTGATTCCTGGCTTCCTGGCTTCCAGTGTCTCCTTTTTAGATTTGAATTCCTCACTTAAAGTGGAGAACAGAGGGTCTGCTAGGGTTCTGACTGCTTCAAAGGCCGTTATCTAAGATGCTGCCAAGACAGGACAGATGAGGGAAGCTCTAAGATGTGTGTTCCTCATTGCCTCGGTATTCATGGACCTCCTGGCAGTGTAACTATTCCTGATATTTCTGTGCTGGCATTACTTGGACTCACTTTGATGTGGGTGGCAAATGTGTTGTCCTCTGACAGTGCCTCCAAAGCATCAAGGGCTTTTCAAAACCATTTGGAAGGAAGACTATATCACTCTTCTTGGGCTAATGGAATTTAACCATCTACTATCCCCCCAAAATAAGGGTTAACATGAAAACTATACAAGTTGCTAAGCACAAAAACTTGGACTGAACTGAAATCAGAAACAAATGTTGGCTGTTTCCTGTAAATCTTACATTCACCATTTCCTCTTGTCTCATTTTGTTCTAAGTGACACAAGGACACTACCGTGACCTATTGCTTAGTTAACCAGAGACACAATTCAGATCAATATAAGGAGGAACTTTCTAAGAATTAGAGCCTACTGGAAAAATCTAGTACGTTGCCTTTGGAGTACTGAGTTCCCTGTCACTAAAGGTGATTGTTTTTGGTATATTCAGTGCCTGGTACGTGTTTGCTGAATGAATGAATGAATGCCAAAGAGGATTTCTGTTTCTTTAGCAGCACATCCGCTCTTCTGTAAAAGGAAGATTATGTCACTGATCTCAGAGATCATTTTAAGGATTAAATGAGAAAATGTATGTGAAGTACCCAGCACAGTTTCTTGCACCTAGTGAACTGCTCATTAAGTAGTAATAATTACTATGTTTTAGTTTATATTATGTTCTAGAAAGGAAGGGAGAGAAGGGAGTCCTCCTTCACATAGAGGATAGAGAAGATGGCCTCCAGATTTGCGATTTGCGGTCTTTATGATACTCTTAATTCCTACTCTCTTCACCCCTGCCCTTCTTCCTCTGCCTTCCTAAAAGAACTCATCCTCCCTGCT